AAGTAGCCCGAGTCACCCGAGTAGCAATAGTCATGATCCAGTTGATACGTAGATCTTACATGGGTTGGATGACCTACCATAATGATACCTATTTTTTTACAAATTTTCTTGATCGATCAAATTTCAACTATTTGATCGATCAACATAATCGATTATTGATTGACTCACTTTTGATTGAGCCCATAACATCATGCTAGATCATCAAGATAATCGACTAATGATCGAGGATTATATAATTGAGGCAATTTACTAATTAGTACAATAACACATTTCTATATTAGAATAATAAGAGTTCAAAAGTATCCTTTTTCTGGTATATCTAGTATATATAAATTAAATAAATAAGTTAATTTTTCTTGTATGCTTTAACTTTCTCAACAATTAAAATGATTAAAATTTTACGTTGACAATCTGGTATTAACAATAAAATAATTCTGTATTATGAATTAATAATATATATTTTTATTATATTAATGCCAGAACCATCTGAATTCCTATATAACAGCACCTATTTTTCTTAAGAGTTAATATTATATATCTATACCTTCTTATATTGAAATGCTACCCAGACGCTATAAACCTCATTTCAAAGTATCTAATTCTTCTTCTTTTTCTAAAAATAAAAAAAGACATACTATATACTATTAGGATACTATAGTATCTAATATTTTCACTCATACATTTTACGGTTCTTTTCTAGTAAAAGCTGATAAGACTGGTACTAGATTTTCTGCCTTTATAAAATTGTCTCCTATTCAAGATACTATAAACAAAACCTATTAAGATAAATATATTAAATAGCGTTTATTTAGCATTAAAAGCATGTTCAAACCTGCTTTTGAAATAAATAGAATTGATAAAAAGATATGCTCCTTATATAGTGTCCAAAATCATGAAAAGTCAACTAAAATTTCTTTTGGTCATTTGCTTGCAAGTGGTGAAGTTAAGAAACATAAGACATACTTTGATACAGAGCAAAAATATACCACTAGATTGTCTCAAGAGGCCTCATAGTTTTCTATTCAATCAATGCTACTATTCGTGGCTACTCTTTGGTTCTTTGGGAATGTCTCTGGCTTAACAAAGAATAAAGTAATAGAAAAAGTTGTATTTGAATGCAATATTCAATATAAAGAATTAGCTGTTGAGCCAGTGAATAGCATAGAAAGTAGTGACCAATACCAGTTATTTGGAAATAAAAAGTTGGAGCTTGAACAATCTGAAATATTTAATAAAATCTTGTTAAACATGAAAATAGCTAATTTAAATACAGTATATAGAATAACATGGGGTCTTTGCCTTGAAAATGACCTTATGGAACTATGTAAATTTTATGAATAAAAATTAAATTTCTAGCCATCTAATAATCCAATTCAAATAATTTTTTTTTTATATTTATAGAACTAACTAAGCTCTATAAAATAAAAAAAAGTTTATTTAAATTGGATTACTGGATAGCTAAAAATTTTAATTTTTATTCATAAAATCTACATAGTCTTGTAAGATCATTTTCAAGGCAATGACCCCACATATCTTTAGTTTTTTGTTTTATTATAAATATTCTTGTTAGCATGAATAAAATAAAAAAAAATTTGTGAAACTCATTATTGTTATCTTTTATATACATACAACATAAGAGATCTATTATATGACTTTTAAGTCTAGACAACTAATCTTGAAAAACAGTCGATTTTCATTAGTAAAATAAAATTCTAACGCTATTATGTTTAAAAGATAACTTCTATTAAATGACTTATTGTTATAGAATGAAAAAATATTAAATATTCCAAGAGAAATTAAAGATGAAGTAAAGTCTTTTTTCATAGTCATTTGATATAGATTGTAGATCAAAAATTTTAAATATAAAAAATCTTTATTAGTGATCATCATTATGTAACCTGCACTATGTTTGTAAATTGACCGATAGGCCACACCCCAGTATGTATGTACCTAATTGTGACCTAATTACTTATAAATTTGGAGATTTTCGCCCATATGTACAACAAAATCCCGAAAAGCAGATTCCTGAAAGGATCTAATGCCGACAAAGTTAGCCGGCATTAGTTATAATGCTGGCAAATTTAGTCGGTAGGTATTATTATGTTCTTTCGGGAAAGTGGCTTTCAGATTTTGTGGTAGAACTATTTTTGGTTTATCGTGACTCAGAATTAATAAGAAAAGATATTTTCAAAAGAAAAAGAATGTCAGAAAAATGTAAAACAGAATGTCAGTAAAATGGACATTCATTTTTTTAGTATTCGGTGAAATGAAAATTGTAGATAAATAACTTATCGGTAAAATTTATTTTCAGTTAAATGAAAATTCGATAAAATGGGATTTTCGAAATTATATCTTGTTAGTAAAATGGGATGTCAGTATTATGACTTCGGTGAAATGGTATTTCAGTAAAATTAATTTCGGGAAGTTAACCCGTAACCATTTTCTTTATGCTCGTTGCATTAAGTTATTATGAATAAGTAGTAAATATTCAGAATACTTAGATTTATAAATATTCTTTACATTCACGCAATAAATTATTGTGAATAAAATTATAAATAGCAAATCTTAGTATTCTTTACACTCTTTGTACCAGAGATTAAAATGAAATTAAGGAAAATAATTTTATTGAAAAATAAACTTGATTAATATATGCTTGCCTACTAAATCGATACAAAAAAAAAAAAAAATTGAGCTTTGATAGTTTATTGTTACCTAGTACAATTATCATGTTTATGTGTATTACTTCATTCGGGCGCATTTTTGGAATTGGGCCTAAATTAATAGCCCGAGTTACGATTGTAATTTTTGCATCATAATATACGTCAAACACATAACGCTTATATAAAACTAATATAATTATTACATCAAGCCCATATCTTCATCGGGAAATTTCTTTGTGATTTACAGCATTAGGAAAAAAATTTTTAGTGTAAATTAAAATTCTGCGCAGAATTGTATTTATTTTCTGTTAAAATAGCCACCAGGTTTGAAGATTTGTAGTTATTTTCTGTTAAAATAGTCACCAGGTTTGAAGATTTGTACAAATTTGCAAGTTTGCGTAGAATTACACTAATAATTTTTCTTGATGTTTTTGCTATTATTAAAATTTATATTAATTTATTAAAAGGTTTATAATATTGATCTTTAATTTAGTAACTTAGATGGCTGTCATTTGAATGGTATAGTTCTGAAACTTCCATCAATTTTCAAACATTTGTAGCTCGTTTTGTAACATTAAAATTGCTATATTCATCGAATATATAATATACAAGTATAGTATAACCTGTCAGATAAGTATAGTATAGAATGATATACATTATATATAGTAGATGCTTCATCGACAGTTATTTTGCCGACGGCTCGACATTGTGCCAAGTAGTATCGTCCCAAGCAAACAACGCCATTTTATTTAACCATTTATGGTAATTTACTAAAAATATATGCCAGCAACTAATAAACCGTTAATTCTAACCCTATGTGATGTCGGCTAAGTGAACTTTCGGTGAAACCATTGTCGGTGAAGTGAGCAGCATCGGTAGATATACAATATGTATAGTTCTTTAAATTATACAGTATGTAGTATTTTTTTTAGAATTTATTTATAGTTTCAATATATAGTTTTATACATTAAATATAATTAAAATTTATTTTTTTATACTATTTAATAATTATAAGCAAATTTGTCTGGCAACCATAAAACTAGTGCTCAGCACAATTTGATAGCCAAATACTTTGTGGACATCAAACAATCGCAGATTAACCAATACCATATATAATATACATATCGATATATTAGTTAATCAGCGATTATTTGATGTCCGACTTAATCACAAGCATTTGATTATCAAATTTCTGTTAGATTATGCCGAACACTACATAAAACTTTGAAATTAATTTTCTAAGATTGAAAATTTTGGATTGAAAAAACACTATTCCAATCAGAGATCTGTCATTTATTATCATACCGATTATTAATACGTAACTTGTAATTTTATTCGAAGTTGATCAGATCAGATCACGGTTACTCAAATTTAATTTATCTGATTTAAATGAGGTAATTAACGAAGGTAATCAAAGGTACGTACATAATAATGCAAAAAAAATAAATCCAAGAATATAATTTAGATATGAGTTTATAAACCGGAATGTTCAATAACTAAAACATGATGATATTCGCAAATAGAATGGGACCTCTTGATTTCATTCTGGCGGATTGGCGGAATTGGACCTTTATTTAGATACTCTGAATATGTCATTCTCTGATATATTAACTGATATCCGTATAATTTGTTAATTTGCTATAACCCTTAAAATGAGTAATTTAGGGTCTGATTAAAAGGGCAAATTCCGCCAGAATTTATCAATACAGTAATTAATAATAATAATAATTATTATTATTATATATTAACTATTTGGTCGAAAAACTACTTAATAACAAATAATGTAAGCACAGTAAATTAATTAAAAACTACCTAAAAAGTATTATTTAATGAACATAAAAAATATATTCAAAGATAAAATTATCTACGTGTTGAAAAGTTTCTTTGCTAGAATCAAAAATATTTACATTTTGGAATAGTTCTTTGAGTTCTTTGTTATTTATTATGAATATATTTGCCATTATCCGCTATTTTAATTTTTCGGAAATTTGGACTTTTAAAGGTTAACTTCATTACCATTTTTGTGATGACAGAAAATTTTTAACGATGATTAAAATTATTAATGATATTAATAACTAATTATTAATTTTATTATTAAGTAAAAACTCGAAAGTCCCATTACTATTCGCAAAACTTTGATATATGTATAATTATTATGATCATTAAAAAATATAGTAATTCTACTTTATTATCAAAAATTAGTAATATAAACGATTCTAACAAAATGCTTAAGGTTATAAAATCAAACTAGCTTAATCTTGTAATTTTGATGCTTTGATATATTGCATCTATATATATAAATACCCTATATATAGTTTAATTATATAGTTAATTATTAGTATGTGTGTTAAAGATAGTTGATTGCATAAAAAAGCTAATAAAAAATCAATTTAAATTAATAAATTAGTTGTCGCATAAAAAATTTATTGATTTTTTAATCATTATACTTTGATTTTATTCAATCTTAACTGTTGAATATGGCTTCATTTTTTAATACTGAGACAATGATTTAATTGAAATAGTAGACCCAATATTGGGTGATAATAATGGACAAGAGGTTATTTTGGACATTACACAATCCAAGTTCGTACCTTCTTTGGACCTTCTGGGATACCAAAAACTTAGTTCTAAATAAATAACTGGTTAAACTAATTTTTGCAAAATCATTAACTTAATGCGCAGTACAACCAAATGGTTTTTTATTTAGATATATCTGTATAAATTTTTATTATACTCTATACTAAATGTATAAATTTTTATTATACTCTATACTAAATGTATAAATTTTTATTCTACTCTATGCTAACATATAATTTTTTTATTAATTTTATTACATAATAATGTATAGTTTATAAATTAGAATTATACTTATTGTAGTATACCATAATATATATACTACGTATAATCCTTTAATCAACTATGCTATACATGTTATTGTAATACCGTATTCATCAACTTGCTTTAATATATTTGAATGATGCTTAAATTTTCTTGCTTCGTCTAAGATTTTAAGTTGAAGACCAAATAAGTATATACCTGAAGTCTTAATTCCTTTTTTGAGGCGTATATTTCTATATAAAAATAATTTAAATAAACTTTAATGTGTTCATAAATTAAATATTAAATATGAACTTTATGAAATATTTTTCAAAACAGATTTAAGAAATTGGTTTCTTTTTATTGCAATTAATAGAACACCGAATGGTACACTGATTATTGCCTCTACCCCAAGTTGTTTTCTACTGTATAATCATTGGGAACCTGATATTTTCTGAAAGAAGAGTGTACGCTAATAATGGCTTATTGGGATATACACCTTCTTTATAACTTTATATAAAAAGCTACGATTTGGTTGTTTAAATTTAATAATCGAATCAACAGGATAATTATGAATTTCTTGCAAGTTATTCACTGCGAAAAAAGTAAATGGCAAGATAATATCGAGTATTGTATCTTTTAAATATAGCGATATTTGATTGTCAAATAATTTGACTCAATCATACATTACGACATAAACTTAGGGTAGCGTTAAAGTCCCACATTCATGTGATTTGTAAAAATCAGTACTGCCGATAATTTATTATCATTCTATATAAAGAGAAAAAGTATGGGTGATCAATTTATTAGAAGATCATGAAGTTACTTTTGGTCTACATCAAAGTCATAAATTCATAAATTCATAAGTTTTTCAAAGTTATGTATAATGATTTTCATGTTCTAGTCTTTATATAACCAAAATTTCTAATATTTAAGTCTATAAAAAAAAAACTTACTTGTATAAAATAGGGTTATGTATCACTTCATAGAAGTTTATTTCACAGACATCTTGGTTTACAAACAATTAGTTCATATAAAAGTTTATTTTAAAGACAATCAGTTCATAGAAAAGTTTATTTTAAAGACAATTAGTTTACAGGCGGTTCATCTTATAGACAGTTCATTTTATAAACATTTCATTTTGTTGACAATCTTTAACTCTAATTTAGAAGTTATTTGCTATTAGAGATTGTCTATAAAATGAACTGTCGATGAACTGTCTGTAAATTAATTTCCTTTAAAATCAGCTTGTCTATGAACTGATTGCCTGTGTCTGTGAAATAAACTTCTATAATCTAAAAAGAAGATTAGTTTAATTTGCGGATGTTCTATAGAATAGGTGGGCAATATAAAAAATAAACTCTGTTGATGATTAGTAATCATAGACATTTAGCGGAGTTGTGAAGTTTGCCCACCTATTCTATACAGTGTTGTACATGGACATATGTCCAAGCAAATTATTGAACATGGACAGTCCATGGACACAATGTCCAATGTCCATGGACATGGACATGGACATATTTTTATATGTTCATGGATATGAACATCCATATTTTTATATGTCCATGTTCATGTCCATTGACAACACTGATTCTATAGAACATCCATTTTTGCTTACAAATATTAAATATATAATAAAATTAATATTAAATCATTTTTATGAAAAAAGAAAAACTCTAGAGATTTTATATTATGGCTTTGGAAGAGATGGATGAAAAAGATATATGAAGAGATTTGGGTTGAAAAATGTAAATTAGTGCAAAACTGGGAAAAGAAAAATGGTATAATGTGAAAAGAAAAATGTGGTTGTAACACAGATACCTAGAGAAAACAAGAAAGAAGAAAAGAAAAAAGAAAGCAGATGAGGAGAAATTTCCAATTGATAAGACCCACAAAGGAAAAAACAAAAGAATAAAGCTGATGCAAGATTGGAATCGATTTTAGACATAGCAAAAAAGGAAGTTTTGAGTTGGATAAAAGGTGGGCACAGGGTAGAATGGTGGAAAACAAATTAGTAGTCTTGACAGGCTGTAAGAACCATCCGATGAAATATTGATGAACTTGTTTGCAAGGTAAATCAATATGGAGGTAAACCTTACTATAGCAGGTCGCACATAAGTATTTATTGAACAACTGGGTGAGCCATTACTTGTAAATTAGGTGTCAGGGAGAATAGCTCTCTGAAAAATTTAATATTTCAAAGTATAATATTATTAGACCTAATAAAGTAAAGGCAAGACTGCCGAATTTATAAAAAAAGAAAAACTATTAAAAATCAAAATATTAATTTTTATAAGATAAATACTTATAAATAAATTTGATTTTTTATATTTTAATAATAATATATATTAAAATTAAATATTTTTTTAAAATTTAATACATATTTTGCCATTAAGAGTGCATTCAAATATAACAAAAAAATTGTAAATTTGAATTATTATATAAGCTAGATACAAAAAGTAAATAAAATTGTTTTTTAAAATAAATTATTAATAGTAATTTTTTGAATTTTTAAAATAAGTAAGTATTATAAAACATTTTGGATAATTTATTATTAAATATACAGTATATGTTTAAAATAAAGCATAGTATTTGAAAAAATAAAAATAATGCTAATTTAACAAAAAAAGTTTATGCTTTAGTAAATAAAAAAGAAAAACAATTAAAACTTTTACTAACTATTCTACAGTAATTTTATTAATTTTTAAATTATAATAAAATTATTAATTGATTAATTGATTAATTAATTAATTGATTAATTAATTTAATTGAATGTAATATAATAAAAGTTTATTAAAAATTAAACAAAAAAACAAAGGTGAAGTTAAATAGCAACAAAATGTAGCAAATAGAAAGAGTAAATTTTTATTTTAAAAATTATTTATAAAATATACATTTATTCATTTTTTTTTTTTTTAGCAAAAATATATAAAAGGTTTCTATTACCAACCAATAAAAGTAATAAAAGATTATATCATGAAACTAGTTTTCAAAATGCAATTAAAGTAATAGAAGGTATATTCCTGTATTCATGATGCAAAATAACAATAAAATGTTTTATTAAATTGAAAGAAAAAAAAATTGCTTAATTAGAACGTCAAGCTAGAATCAGAATTATAAAACCGGCAGTTAAAAATAAGCTGGGTTTGTGATTTAAATGGTTTAGATTTATTTTAAATAAATATGCTTATCTTTGTGTTTAATTTCAACAAAAATTAAATAAATACTTAAAACCTTAAAAAAATTAAAAATAAAAATAAAAAAAAAATCGAACATTCGAATATTAATCAGGAATCGAACTTTTAAATTATACATTTTTTAAGAATTGAGTTTAAACTCAAAGATTACCTTTCTTGACGTCGCTCATTATTAAAAAAAAAAACTTCGAAAGTACCAAAGTATAAAAAAAAAAAAAAATTCGTGTATACTAGTACGAAAAATTTTACTTTTTTGAGCGTACGTATCAAGTTTTGCTCAAATCTCATACGTACGTCCGTACATATTTGTACAACCGTACCTGCTTTACTACTTTACACTACCTAACAATTATAGATTGAGGTCCAAAACCTTGGTAATGCTAAATCATCAATTTCGACTTTATATGAAAAAAGTTTATGTTATGGTACTGTACGTGTATCAATTTTACGAAGTTTTCACACAAAGATTTCATACATATTGACTAGAATCAAAACTGCTTAAATTTCTAAATTCTAGGTAAAACCCTATCTTTAGACTTTACGATAACGATAACTTATAAAAAATTTACTAAGCCACGCTTTTTTTCACTTGTTTACTAGTATTAGCTAACAGTTCTATTTACTCGGAAAGTTCTTTGTTAGCTTGCATATTTAAACATTAATTTATGTTTTAAAAATATCCAAGAACCAGACCTTAATGGATCTGTCATGCAAAGTAAATTAATTGTTTCTCGTTACACAGAACAAACAAAACATAATCGCCAATAAAGAATTTTCTATTTAAAATTTTTTATAATTTTATTTTTAATAATGTAACGATAATTCGATATACTGTATATCTGATTGTAACGATAATTTAGTTATTACTGTATATCTGAATCGTTGGGATTCACATGGCGAAGTTACACGCATAAATAAAATTTCAATTGTATCTGTGTAGATCACCTAATAGTTATCAGCTGTTTCCATAGCGAAGCGACAGGTACAACCAACATCCAATTAACTCTCTTTCACTATGTAGATTAATTTATGCTAATTCGAATATTTATAATACGTACCAAAATTTCAATAATGTAATATAGCAGTAATGTAATATAGCAGTAATGTAATATAGCAGTAATGTAATATAGCAGTAATTAATATAGCAGTAATGTAATATAGCAGTTAAGAATTCAATTAAATTACCGTTACTAATAATATTTTACCATTGGATCATTGGATTTACTGAGTAACCATATTAGATACGTATTTATAGTATAGAATCCCTATAACCGTTACTAAAAAGAAATTTTAAATATAATGAACCAATAAAATATCCATTTCCCCCATTGGTTTCTTCTGATTTTAATAATTCCGAGGCAACAGTCGGAATATATCTACCATGTCCGCCGTTTTGGATATTTGTATAAAACTTATTGTGTGTTGGTTTTGCGTGTAATTCCGAGTTTCATAAAGATTGATAAAAAAATCTTTCATATTAACTTTTTTAAAAAGGAGTGTGAAAACCGAAAAAGAACGTTGGTTACAATAATTCGGTAAGATATGAACCCTTAAGATTAATTTAAATGTAGGTTAAATTAAGTACTATGCATATGCATGCGCATTTTAAAAATATTCGAGTTACGTATATCAAATACGTATACGATAATTTTAAAGCTAGTGTGTCTTTGTCTGCTTTATGATGATCAATTTGCGAAAAATGGCTTGTGCAGAAATTATATCGCATCATAATTTTATGCAAACCTCTCAGATCCCAAGTATTAATTTCTGATTACTGGATAATGTTTTTGTATCACCTTCTTTGAACGATATAAATGGTAGTGTATAACTGACTGTGATATGTTTTTATAATAAATATACACCGCATGATTAGCGCTACAAGGTCCGCAATTAGTCAATTCACGAAGTTGTTTATGAACTTAATGCTGCACGCTATATTGCGAGCATCAAACAATTATTTTTGTTTCTTAATGACTATAATCGTTTCTCGTTTTTAAAAAAAAATTATTATTTTTTCATTCCTATTGAAAGAAAACGGCTCTACAGCATCAAAGGAACATCATCGATAAGATTTCCACTGCTTCTTTAATTCATCTCATCATCGGACTTCATTCTTTTATAGTCGTTTTTTTTTCTTTCTTTTTTTTTTTTTTCTTTTTTTATTTATTTATTTATTTTTTATTTTGGCTGGCTCCTCATCTTTTGTTTCAAACCATTGATTCCTAAATTGCTTCGTGTATATTCAAATTTCTCATTGTTACTAAAGTTGGATGTGGTTATTAGTTAAACAAAAATTCAGTTCTATATGAATTTCAAACGTTAAATTTAATGGTGTGACGCCATTTTTCTTTGTTACTGAATTGACAATTTTCCTTGTATAAATCCTAAGAGATAAACTATTTCATTCTGTTTATTTTGCAACAATAATAACAATTGATCAATTTTTCAATTCCTCTTTTTTTTTTTTTTTTTTTTTTTTTTTTTTTTTTTTTTATCGATTATGACAGAAAATTCTATAAACCCTGTAATATTAAACGTTATGACCCAATCTAACTACATGAGTCAACATCCTTATCGTCGTTCAAGCGAACCTACTCCGCTAGAATCGTCGATATTTCACAGGGAGTCTGAATCAACAGGAATCCAAAGACGAACAAGTGAGACCTTAACTACATCTAATAGCATGGCTGCAAGAAAATATGCAATATATAAGTCTCATTTGCATGACTATAGTATCCTGGAAGATGCTGAAACTGCAAATAATGTCATTAACAATTCAAACAATCAAGCTGCAAGATGGACAGTTTCGGAATCACAATTACCACCACGTATTTCGTCACTTAGTCATTTACAGGAAAGAATAATTTCTCCGCAAGGAACTCATCAAACCAATTCAAACCAATTTACTCAAAAGTCAAAATTTCCTTCTATTGCGGTATCAACCGGGATAAATAATGGTTCTGTTATTACTACACAAATTCAGTCTACAAGAACTTCTTTAGAAAGAAAACAGAAACAAACTGCAAGAATTTCCTTAGAAAGAAAACCATCACTAGTCATAAGAAATTCTCTTGAAAGAAGGCCTGCCGTAAGAACTTCTTCAGAAAGGAGAAGATCACATAAATTAGTTGGTAGAAGTCATTCAAAACGAACGGTAATTAAGAGAAATGCTACTGTATCTAAGAGAAAAGATTCAAGGAAAAGACTTATTTTAGAACTGTCAACCACTTCAAATCAAACTTATGCAAATGATCCAACAGATATGGATGCAGATTTACCTCCATTAAAAAATAAAAAGATTCCCTGGCTTCCAGGTCCTCAACGCTCTCCAAAACTCCTTCATGCTTCTCTTGTTCCTCTTCCACATCACTCTGAAGCTGTTTCAAATAATTCAAACAATCATTCTTATAATGTTACGTCTTCTCACTTAAGTGTGGCTTCTCGAATCTTAAGATCTTGTCGTCCAAAATATGTTTCATCCATTTTCATGTCTACAGATTTAGCTTTAACGTCAAATGCAAAATCACATCAAGAGAAGAGGGATTCTGTTACGATCCCGGTCCATTTAGGAAATCGTGCATCTCAAATATTTAGACGTCGATTACTTGAACAAAGTTTATACATGTCATTTTGTGGTGAGATGCCTACAAATAATCAAATAAAGCCATCAAAACGTCGAAAGGCTAGGAAGGGTTACAGCGTTAAAATTAAAGATAGAGACAGAGAGGCAAGACGAGAAAAACGTAGAAAGGAAAGAAAAGAGAAAAAGTTGGCTAACGCTCATAAAATTAATGATAAGGAACGTCTAAGTATAAACAATGTGAATCCAGTTGCTATCCCTAAAATACTGGATTCTGAAGAATTAATTAAAAAAGTTGAGGAACAACTTCGTAAAAAAGAGTATTTGATGTCACCACCACCTCCACCAAGATATAAAAATCATCAAGAAAATCAAATGTCTGGGTTAAGTCCAGTTCAACGAAGTAAAAGTAATGCTAGTAATGTTTCTTCCTTGTTTTCTAATCTTCCTGAAAGAAGAAGATCTGATAGATCTAATGACTTGAATAATCAAATGTTGGATTCAATGGAACCTTTTCCAACTCATTTAACATCACAGCGTAAAGATAGGTTGCCACATTCAAATACGATTTTTGTTCAACCACCTACAATATTAATGTCTACAGATGAAATGATTCATGATTTTGATGAAAGTCCGCAAATAGAGAAGCAAGTGGAATCTATAGATAAAAAAAGTGCTGATAATAGCAATTCAGGAACACCATTATCACCTTTAAGTCCATCAAGTCCATCAATATATAATAAATTTGGTTCTGGACTTTTAAGCCTATTTAATAGAGGATTTCATCGTGACGCAAATTCTTCAATATCAGGTGCAAGTTCACCTACAACTCCAAATTATTCTCTTTCACCACGATCACCTTTATCACCTAATTCTCCATTATCGCCAGTATCTCCTCGACAATTTTCGGTTTCACAAAATCCCTTTAAAAATCCTACAGAATCTACTTCTAAAAAACCTATTCAATTATCAACAACTGATCCATCTGCTCAATCATTTCGGCCTGGATATTCTAGGCGAGCTACAGAACCTACAATCAAGAAAACACATTTATCAACAACTACAACGGATCCGGAAAAATTGAGAAAGATGCAAACCTTGGAAGAAATACTTGCATTATCCGATGCTGAAAATGAAAGAAAAGCTCAAAATTTTGAGAATTTAATGAATTATGGAGATCAAGATGGTAAAAAGTTACGCGTTGGAAAAAATCGAACTTTAAAAACTGCCGTAATAACATCAACAACCGCAATGACATCACCTTCAGTAATACCAGTAGAACCAATTACAGGTACTGTTTGTCAATCAAAAAGTAATAATGAAATACAAGAAACATCATCATCATCGTCATCATATTCAAATACTTTACAACAAAATATATCATCAATTATAGTATCAGCCTCATCATCTACAACCAGTCTAGATTCTGATTACTATGAAGATGAACCTGAAACACTTGGACCTCAAAGAGGTTTGTTAAGTAATGATGGGGTTATTAGACTTACACTTACACCTGCTATTTGTCGATAGTACTAGAAATGGTATAATCCTTTAAAATAATATTTGTATAGTATTCTTTGTATTTTAATTTTTATTTTATTTTTATTTTATTTTTTCTTTTCGTTTTACACTTTTGTGTAATTTAGTATCTTGTTTTTTATTTATTTATAAATTCCACTTTACCTTTTTTTGCTTTCGATTAGAATATTCGGTCTAGATTTAATATAGATATATAGATATATCTGTATATTACATATATTTCCAACTAACCTAACATTCTTTTTAATTACAAAAAAAAAAACAAAAAAAAAAATAAGAACATTGACATAACGATTATCATTATGTGTCTATTTACTAAATGATACTTCATATTTGCGAATAATTTGCTGTAAAAAAGAAATTTTATAAAAAAAATACATATATATTAATAATTTTAAAGCTGTGTATGATGTATAATGTATACGTTTGAACTTTTCATCCATCGGTAAACATAATGCGCGTATCGGCGGATCTGCATCATTCCTTATTTATCAGGTGATATAAATACATCGATATCGATGTGCATAAAAAAAATAGATTCCACTGATATTAAATGACATGGTCATTTGATCAAAATTTCAATGAAATAATAACAAAGTTATTAAGATCATTTGACGAATAAATAATTTATCTCTAATATAAAAAGTTATTGAATTTCTCTATTCAATAATAATAGCACATAAAAAAAATTTGGATGTTCTATAGAATAGGTGGGCAAACTCCGTAACTCCGCTAAATATTTATTAATGATTACTAATTGTTAGCGGAGTTTATTTTTTATATTGCCCACCTATTCTATAGAACATCCAAAAAGGTTACTACATCAATCGATATTTGCGACTTAAATTGTAATTTGAATAACTTTTAATTTGTTTATATTTGTATAAGCTTTTCATGAAAAAGTGAAGTTATTTAATACCGGTAATTATACGTACAATTTATTAGGGTATCATATATTGATCTAATATTAAGATTTTTATAGTAAGGTTGCATCGCACAGAATGCAGCTACTGCGAGTCATTATTATAGCGATAAAGGACTTATTTATGTCGTACCTCAATCAGAATAGACGTACGTATAGGTTTAAAGTCGTGTAAAATTAGAATTTGACTCTGGGGTGCGTCAGACTGGTTTTTCATTTATGCGTCATACTAAATATGCATAATAAATGTCATGATAGTATTTAATAAAATAAATTATGGTTCGCTTAAAATTTACATACCATTTATTCATTTTATAATTTGAACTAACTACTATGGAGTATTCATTTATTACACGTAAAACTTACGGTAGCTATTTTAGTAACTTTATAATTTATCGTTATATAAAATGTATTTAAGTAGTAATCCATATAAGATCAGCAGTATTATCATAATAAAATTTGGGGTTAAGCTCTTATATAAGCTTTATA